TCATTATTTATCCTCGAATTTTTCCTTTTCAAAACTATTCCATTATTCTGCTTCAAACGGTTTGATTAAAACCATAGACACTTACAATACAACAAATTCTAAATTCTTCCTCCGTTATTTACTCTCGAATCTTTTTCTTTTCATCAAAACTATTCCACTATTCTACTTCAAACCGTTTGACAAAAATTATAGACACTTACAATGCAATTTAGATTCTAATTCTAAATTCTTCCTCCATTATTTACTCTCGAATCTTTTTCTTTTCATCAAAACTATTCCACTATTCTACTTCAAACCGTTTGACAAAAATTATAGACACTTACAATGCAATTTAGATTCTAATTCTAAATTCTTCCTCCATTATTTACTCTCGAATCTTTTCCTTTTTATCAAAATTATTCCATTATTCTATTTCAAACCGCTTGACAAAAATCATAGACAATACAATGATTTTAATTCTAAATTTTTCCTCCATTATTTATCCTTGAATCTTTTCCTTTTCAAAACTATTCCATTATTCTGCTTCAAACGGTTTGATTAAAACTATAGACACTTACAATACAACAAATTCTAAATTCTTCCTCCATTATTTACCCTCGAATTTTTTCCTTTTCATCAAAACTATTCCACTATTCTACTTCAAACCGCTTGACAAAAATTATATACACTTACAACGATTCCAATTCTAAATTCTTCAAACTGTTTCAAACGGTTTGATTAAAACCATAAACACTTACAATGCAACTTACAATGCTTCTGCAATTCTTTCAGCCCCGAGGCAAACCTTCGCAAACCTTCGTCAATCACCGAAAATTACACAATTCACGACGAAACACATCGCGGAACCATCCCTCTCGAGTCATCGACCAATTTCATCCAAGAATCTACGTGTCCGGAAAACAAGAAAACCCGATTCGAAATTATTGGCGGCGCGGGGCGGCCGAGCAAGGTCGCGGGCGTGGATCGGCGCTCGTTTAAAGCACGGCCCCCGATAATTCGGGGCCCCGGTAATTTTATGCAATTATGCGTATTAACCCGGCCGCCGCCGAGTTTGTACGTTTGCACGGAGGGGACGGAGGGGTCGT